CTGTGGTTTCAGTTCTGTGTTTCCCTTTTCGCAGGGCCGGATTAACATAGGGGCTGATGGAGCTGCAGCTCCAGGCCCAGGCCCATGGAATAGGCCCATTGATTTAAAAAAAAAAAAAAAAAAAGATTTTTTGTTTTTTAAATTTTTAAAATTTTTTATTTTTTTTACACACACTACTATTGGGGTTGCCAGGTATTTCTTATGGTTGCCAGGTATTTCTCAGAAGTATTTATCAGGTATTTGAGGCTGCCTAGCCGGTGCCGGTATTGCAGTAATACCGGCAATACAAATGTCTGTCTCAGTATAAACAGAGATTGTTCTGCAATACCAACGCCGGCCAGTAGGGGTCGCTGTTTGTGTGGAGAGAGGCAGTCTCCAGTGAGAGGATGTCTCCAGTGTCCCCATGTCTCTAAGTGTCCCCTAGTGTCTTAGTGACATCGGGACACTGGGAGACATGGGGACAAAACTCTAAGGGATGCTGGGAGACATGGGGATACAAACACTAGGGGACACTGGGCAACGTTGGGACACTGAGGCACTAGGGTACACTGAGAGACATGGAGACACTGGGGGACACAGGGAGACATGGGGACACTGGGCGACTGAGACCTTGGAAACATGGGGCACTCCCAGTGTCCCCATGTCTCCCAGCCAGGGTCCATAGTATCTCAGTATCCTCATGTGTCCCTGGTGTCTCTCAGTGTGCCAGTGTACCTAGTGTCTCAGTGTTTCCTAGTCTCCCAATGTCTCCCAGTGTCCCCAAGTCTCCTAGTGTCTCAGTGTCCCCTAGTATAAAAGAAAAAATATCAGGCACTCACAGTGATAGATTTAGGCAAGTTTATTGGACACTGCAACGTTTCGACCTGTACCCAGGTCTTTATCAAGTCTCCAATGTCCCCTATGTATCAGTGTCCCCTATGTATTAGAGTGTCTCAGTACCCCATGTCTCTCTGCCCGTAGTGTCTCTATGCCCGTAGTGTCTCAGTGTCCCCTAGTATAAAAAAAAAAATCTCAGGCACTCATTGTGATAGATTTAGCCAGGTTTATTGGACACCGCAACATTTTGACCTGTACCCAGGTCTTTATCAAGTCTCTAGTGTCCCCTATATCACAGCGTCTCAGTGCCCCATGTCTCCCAGTGTCCCCTCGTGTGTCACCCAGTGTCCCCATGTCTCCCAGTGTCCCCAGGTCTCCCAGTGTTCTCTAGTATCTGTGCCCCCATGTCCCTCAGTGTCCCCATGTCTCTCAATGTCCCCTAGTTTCCTAGTGACATGGGGACACAGACACTAAAGGACTGGGAGACATGGGGACACAGACATGCCCCCTTTTTGTGTATGTTCGCCCTTTCGGCCGTTCTGGTGTGATTTGTGTCAGTGGCCCACCCTTTTACCGCATCCATAGACTTCCTGCTTTACTGGACACTGCTGTTAGGGGATATGGGTTGACTTGAAAGATGAAAGCGTGAGATTAGCAAAGGCTATGTGTTTTCTCATAGTTGCATCCTATGAGTTTTCCTCCAGCACCATCTCCATCAGATATATGACGCTTAGGAGGTAGGACTGTTTTAGTGTTTTTGGTCAATAAGATTTTGTAATTAGGCCCATTATAATTATCAGCACCAGGCCCACTGGGCTCTTAATCCGGCCCTGCCTTTTCGGGGGAGGACGTGGCTCTACTAGGTCTACTTATACTGGTTGCTTTTAGCACGTAGTTGTCCCATATTTTCTGGGCCTCAATGTTAGTGGCGTTGGATGTTATGTAGGAGTGTGCCATTTGTTCATAGTCCCAGTTGAGAGTTACTTGTTCCCACAGGGCTCGTTTACTTGGGACTTTACTTGTCTTCCAGGACCTCGCTAGCAACGTATTCACTGTTATCAAGATTTGGAAAGTAAGTTTAACCTGCGGTCTGGGCATGCCTGCTGGAAGCATTAACAATATACAGTGGTCAGGCATGTGTCTTTGCTCTATTTGGGTAACGTTAGTCTTTTCTGCATTGACCATTTTTCAGAAACTTTGTAGTGACGGGCAGGACCACCAGACATGTAGCATTGTTCCCAACCCCTCCCCACACTTCCAACATTTATTTGATACATTCGGGTACATGCGGAAAAGTTTGTCGGGTACATAGTACCACCAGTACTGTATTTTCCTCATTAGTTCTAGGCAGGGACGTTTTAGCAGCGAGGCAAACAAGGCATTTGCCTTGGGTGGCATTTTCCAGGGGGCAGCAAAAAACACCGCCCCCAAATGCCCACGGCAAATGCTTGTTAGCCTTGTGGCTAAATGACATGCTGGGCTGGGCGGGCAGCGCTGGCGGGCGGCTGGCAAAGGAGCTCTTCCTCTGAGCTTTCTGCTTAGCTCCCTTGCGCGCCTTAGAGTGAGGCTGGGAGCCGGAATATGACATCATATTCCGGCTCCCAGCCCCACTCTGCGGGCATCATATTCCGGCTCCCAGCCGCCCAGCAGCCACTGGACCCCAAGGGAAAAAGAGAACCCCCTTCCCCCCCAGCATTCCCAAAGGTAAGGAGGCTGGGGGGGGGGGGTTAAATGGTTAAATTAAAAAAAGTGTGAGTGAGTGTGTGTGTGTGTGTATGTCTGTGCGTGTGTCTGTTAGTGTGTGTGTGTGTGTGTCTGCTAGTGAGACTGGCTTAACCCTAAATGTAAACATAGCAGTTTACAGCAGGCAGGGTTAACCCTAGAGGGTCCTGGCACCCAGACCACTTCATTGAGTCCCTTTAAATAAAAAGTATACAAACATAGCCAGGATTCAGGTGTATGCATTTGCAACACTTACAACAATCAAGTAACACACACTCAGGAATGAATAAGTAGATAACTCCCTAATTCCTACAGTATTAGGGAGCTATCTACTAAAAGGCTGAAAGACCTAAAGTGGTCTTTCAGCCAAATTTACTAATACTAAGTAAAGATTACTTAGTATTAGTAAATTATGCCCCTACTCGCTATACCGCCTGTTGCTGCTCAAAAAACACCTTGTGTCCCTTCCCGTGCCCCTACCCGTGCCTACTGAGTGGGGGCTTCTAACCTAAAGGAGGGACCTATTGCTCCCCCCCCCCCGGCCCCCACGCCTAAACGGTGGGTGGGGGCCCTAAATTAGAATAAGGGGGGGGACCTATTGTGCTCCCCCTCAGCCCCCACCCCTGAGTGGCACATGGGGGCCCAAAAGTAAAATAAGGGGGGACTGTATAACACTATGTATGGAGTTAAATATGTATATATGTTAATTCATGCTTATTTATGTCTAACGTTTTTGGTTACAGAAAAAGAAGAGATTTAATAAATAAAGTTATGGATGTGTTATGCAGTAATTTAGTTTGTGATAATAAATGCTGTGGCCTGTTTCATCCATACTAAGTGGTCTGTCGTTATTGGGGGGTTGAATGGGGTTAGTTTTTGTTCTAGGCTGCATCGCGATTCCCCACTATATACATACATGTTACTTAGCTTGTTGACTCCGTAGCCTGGTTGCTAACAATTTGCCCGCTTTGTTGTCCTGTGAGTAGTGTGATGCTTTAAGTCTGTGTAGCTCAAGCATGTCAAACTCAAAGTCTGGCACGGACCACATAAACAAGGTTTAAGTTTATTTGGGCTGCAAAAAAAAAACCTTAAATTTTCATAGAAACTTAGGTTTATGTTAAATTCAGAGCCCTCACCCGCCACTCGGGGGTGGGGGCCCTCACCCGCCCCGGCCGCCACCCGGGAGGGCTCTGAATTAGAATAAGGACCTATTGTCCTTCCCCCCAGGCCCCCACCCCTGAGTGGCGGGTGGGGGCCCTAAATTAAAATATGGGGGGGGGGACCTATTGCCCCGCCCTGCATTTTGGCTCAGAGCACTCTAGATGGTTGGTTTAAGTCATCCAATCAGAGTGCTCTGACAGGTTAATGAAGAGACTGACAGGTAAGTCTCTACATTTACCTGTCACAGCACTCTGATTGGTTAGCTTGAAATCCAGCCCATCAGAGTGCTCTGTGTCATTTTTCACAGTGTGGGAAAGTTGTGTAATTTGAGTCATAACAACACTCTGATTGGTTAATTGAAAGTAACCAATCAGAGAGTTATGAATCAAATTACACAGGGTGGGAAAATTCCAAAGAACTTTCCCACGCTGTGACAATAGGTCTCCCCCTTATAAGTATCTAGGGCCCTACCCACCGCTCAGGGTGGGGGCCAGGGGGGAGGACAATAGGTCCCCCACCCTTATTCTTGGTATAGCGAGTAGGGGCAGAATTTACTAATACTAAGTAATTTTTACTAAGTATTAGTAAATTTGGCTGAAAGACCAATTTACGTCTTTCAGCCTTTAGGTAGATAACGCCCTAATACCGTGGGAAATAGGGAGTTATCTAATAAGTGGCTGCAAGAGAAGTCCAGAAGTGCTGAAGTCACGAAATGCCGAAGTTACGAAATTCAGAAGTGCCAAAGTTCCGAAGTCGCCGAAGTGCCAAAGTCCCAAAGTTCTGAATTGCCAAAGTCCCGAATTTCGGAATGCCGAACAGAACCAAACATTTTCCCCATGCACATCCCTAGTTTCTTTGTTCAGTGTTAGGTGCATGTATACTGACTATGGTGTATTGGATCCCATTGAATGTGTCCATGACAATAGCGTTTCTTCCATCCCTGTCCAATATATGGGAGTGGGATGAGAACGCCATATGCCTGCTGATCAATATAGATGTTCACTTCGTCTTTGTTGAGAAAGTAACATGAAACTGGTGAGGGTATTCCCTACTTAGGAAAAATCTGATGTGAGTTCGATTTTAAATGAGTTTCCTGCATGCAGATAATATCTGCTTTTTGTGAGCCAAGTTCTCTGCCTAAAAGGTGCCGTTTAACTGGGGAGTTTAAACCCTTTACATTGTGTGAGTATATCTTCATGGGGGTCTAAACCCCATTGCTGTTATGAGATCTTGTAATAGAATTTGGAATCTAAGTGAGGGCGCTGCAAGTCCCAGCTGCAACGAGCAGTGCAGATCTCCTCTCAGTAGCATTCTAATAGTGTTGTGTACCCAGAGAGTTTGATACCCTGTCTTGGGTATAGGGTGCATCCCCCTTGTCTCACCCCCCAAAGCCTTAGATTATTTCTGCAGGCTCTGTCTTCATTGTCCATGAGTTTAGATTGCATGATAGTGAGTTTTTGTTCTAAATACTCCAAGTGGCTAGCTAGATCATTGTGCGTCGTGACGAATTCATCAAGCTTGTTTTTCACGTGGGACGTTCTGGACCCAAGCTCCTGTGTGTTTTGCCTCAGGGTGTTGAGCGAGGATTGCCAGCTCGCGATTAGTTTGGTGGATAGTGCATCCAGGGCCTGTGTTAGGTAGCCTTGTGTCACTGGTTCAGTAACCAACGGGCCTTCTATGTCCGGCGTGGAGGTGGCCGCATCGGAGCCGTCATTGCAATCTTGGAAAACATAACTGCGAGTCGCAAATATATTTTTCTGGCCAAAAAAATTGAGCCTCTCTGCTTTTACAGTGCTCTTTCTGCTCTTGTGGTGAGACATAATCGATTCGTTGTGATTGTGGTGGTTCTGGAGGCTGGGATTGCAACGTATTGTAAGCTCATGTGCCAGAGTAAGTAACTATGCAGCAGTCTTGCTCAGCGGTTAGACACGCGCCCCCCGTCATCTTTTTTTACAATAAAAGCGAGGAACAGTTGCTGGATATCGGCCTTTACTACAACAGGCTCTAGTCTGAAGCAGATTAGTGCACCTATGAGGCTGTTGTTTAGATTTGGATTAGTAAGGAGGTGGTTGTTGTGAGAAATATGTTGATGTTGAGCTCTGAAATCAATGCAAATCTAATTTGGCTTGGCTTGCAATAATGATACACACCAAAAGGTGGATGGATGGTACTAGCATTCTTATCTTTCTTTTATTGATGGTGCAGGTTCAGCGTGATCTCTGTCTAATATGTTTTGTCAATAAAGTGTTTTTCCATCTCTGATTATCTCTTCAGGGTGCACTTTAAAAAATCTAGCAGCTGCTTTCTGTAGATTGTAAGGTAGCTTCCATTTCTAAAAATGCGAGGATAGTGGTTCTGCCCAGCTGCTGGATCATCCTGAGAAATTCCCTATCTTCTCTTGCGAGTGCCATATGTTGTCATCACTGGTAGAATTAAACAATGTTCATCCAAAGGCATCATCCCAGAACTGAAGGGCATTCATGTTGTGTTGGCTGCCACACACTGTTGTTCAAATTCTTTCACACAGTAATGGTGTGGGCATGGTTCAAGATAGGTGTTGCAACCATCTGGCAAGATGTGTATTTTGAAGGAATAAATCTTGGTAGGTATTGTTATTTTTTGCTTATAATAACCAAAACTAGATCAATGCTTTGGGTGAATGGAGCATTCAAACTTGTTGACGTACCTTGTGTACTCTGAGAATGTCTCTGCCGAGGAGTAGTAGGATATATGCATTCTTGTCAAAGGCTGGTATATCTTTAGCCATAGATTAGTTGTGGATGTTGAAGAGCAGTCTCAGGTGTGGGGATATCTTCTTTGTTAGATGTGATCTGGTTGCTATCGACAAGTGTAGAAAAGGGTAAATCCAGATTGCCCTCAAGAGAAGCTACAATGAGTCCGCTGACTCTTCTTCCAAAGACCTCTTTAATGCCACTACGTGTACCTAAAGTGTAAGGGTAGGCATGTTCCATTAAGTTGAAAAGATCAAATAGTTTGGATCTTGTGAGTGATCAATTGCCTTGATCGTCCAGGATGGCATATACTTTAAGAGACTTTTTGGATGACCTTTGGGGTATATATTAACTAAACATATTTTAGCACAGAACATGTCAAAAAGGTCTTCTGCACAGATTTTTGTGTGGGAGGAATACACTTGCTGCTTGGTCTGTAGTCTCCCCGCCATGCTTTGTCACAGGATGAGGGTCTGAGGAAGATGCAGGGCTGTACTGAGGTGGATGTAGTGTTTGAACATGATCCTCACAATCGCACTATATGCACTTGATAGAGATTTTACAGTTTGAGGCAAAAGGCTTGGTAGATGCAGCTGTAGAACAACAGCTGAAACACACCCACATGTCTTTAGAAGCACTTTGCTCTCCTGGAGTGGTTTCTTTCTAAAGCCAGTGCACTTTTTGAGGAATGAGTTTTGTTATGAATAGGACATCTCAATGACTATTCTCAATTATTTCACCCTGTGTGCTCTTGTCTGAAACTTAGGTAGGAGGGAGAAGGACATTAGTCTTTTTCACCGATACAGGAACCCTGCAGTTTCTGGGATTAGAGCGTAGGCTGTTGCACATCGGAGGAGCGGAGCCAAGGACGTTGAACTCACTGTAGGAAATAATGTGGTAGTTTTTCATTTCTGCAATATCCCTAATGAACTTGCAGAAATAGGAGAATGGGAAAAATAAGTATTGATTCGCTCTCTTATACTTTGACCCAAATGCAGTCCATTTTTAGAACCCGTAGCTTTGCCATAGCTGTGGTATGCTCACATTGTTTCTCCAGAGCTTGTATTTCTGTTTTATTGTAAGCTGCTACCCTGTCCATTTTAGCCTACCTTTGCACAATGGCTGCCTGTATCAGCAAGTCCTGTGAGTGTTCCCAGTATGCAGTGGTAAGCACCTACCAAAAGTGGTGTAAGGAAGGACAACTGGAAAATCGGCGTCAGAGTCATGAGCACCCAAAGCTCATTGGTGCGTGTGGGGGGAAAAATCCGTTGGGTCCAATCACACAGAAGAGCTGCTGTAGCTCAAATAGCTGAAAACCTTAATGCCAGCCATGTTAGAAAGGTGTCAGAACACACAACGCATTGCCATTTGCCACATTTGCAGCATATGACCCTTGTCCACCACCACAAGCGTATTCAATGAGGATGTGAGCTTTAGAATTGGAACATGGAGCAATGGAAAAAGGTTGTCTGGTCTGATTAATCACATTTTCTTTTAGATCAGAGATAGCAGGAGAATGCACTATGATAAGAAGACAGGCCAGTAGAGGCAGTGTTTTGCAAGTGATTTTAATATTGTGGCTGATCAGTGTACACACAATAATACACTCACAAATACACACAGTTACACATATACACAGACATACTCAAACTGTTACATATATCCAGATACACACACAGGCACTATTACACATATACACACACAAACACTCAGAGAAACACACAAACTGTTACACATACTTACAGATACACACACACACTGTTTTTCTGATAAGGCAACCAAAGCCACCTGTTTATAAATTGTCTTGGTTGTGGCATCTTTTGAAACTAGAGTTAAGAGTGGGTGGTGTAAAGAGGGATTTGTTTTATCATTATTTTTGATCTAGTGTTGACCAATAGTGATTTTTAAACTTTTGATCCCTGAACCAAGCAGTGAGCACACTTGGAGTAGGGTGCCTCCATATCAGCCCCCGCATGTTGATAATTTAGGGAGTCGGCCCTTCTTTCTAGAAGTTACAGCCTCCTGTTATTGGAAGAGGATTAGCTGCACATCTTCTAACAGCTGAAAATGGTATGGTCAGCATTGTATGATTCATTATTTTCGATGCTCACAAGATAGTTGATAAGTTTGTGTAGCTAATTACCTTACAAAAGAGTGTTGTGATAGTTTGGGTAAATAAAACCACATAATGAATACCTCTACTTTATCATGTTTATTGACTCAGTGCCAACATTAATAAGGATAAAAAAACACGGCTGGCTTTGTATTTCTTTAGTAATTACTAGTTCTTTTAATACAACAGTGTTGTTTTCTGTGCTCAATCATTGCAGATTTTGTTGTGATGTTGTTGTAGCAACATACTTACACATCATTTAATTCGCTAGAGATTTCATACATCCGATCCTATAGTAAAACTGGGACTCATGTCTGGCTGCCAGAATGCAAAGGCATAAAGCCAAATCTATGTACTGGCCATGACATCTGTGCAGACGTTAAACAGTTACTGTCTCCAGGCTTCAAAATATTAGTCCTTCAAAAAAATGCAACCTTTCAATCGAAGTGTGGATTTTCACCTACATCCAGCTTTTAGTCTAATTTGGGAATGGCAGTTGTTCATAATAAACTGTGTTAGATGGGTCTCTGTTGATAAAATATAAACTAGACCAAAAGAAAACAATATGCTGCATTCACCAGCTGAGCAGTGAAATTATACTTTTCCGCCTGCACCAAAAAGGAACCAGTGGAGCAGACACAGAGCCAAAAACACTTTCCTCCCAGCTGGCTGGCCACATGTGGTTCCAAGAATTGGGTCAGTATATTAAAGGGATTATACTGCAGCAGTACCCAATCTGAACCACAAGGTGGCATCCAAAGCTAGACAAGAAAATAACGTAATAGCTGTAAATCAGATTGCTGGGGAAGAATTGGAGCATCATCTGCATCCTCTAGCAACAGCTAAAGCAAGAGATCTGATTGGTCGATTTACAGCATGTTATGAGCAAGTAGATTACCATTGGGCCAAAGGTTGAACAGCACAAATAGAATGGTCTATGTATGAGCTGAAGATTCTGGAATTGAAAATCTGTGAACTGGAAATGTAATAGGGATAGATACATGTATACAACCTCTATAACTCTCAGTCAGCAGTGTCTGGACCACAGCTCTCACACAGCTTAATACAGATGGCTTACTATATAACGTAAACATTTGTACAGTGCTGTGGAATTTGTTGGCGCTTTATGAATACAATAATAATTTGGTTAAAAAAATCATGATGGGAGTTGTGTCCCAGATACAAAGGAATATAAAGAGTTGCCTATCTCTGTTTTATAGTAACAAAGCTCCTGCAGTTTGCTTACATTTTATGTTCACGCTTAACATTTCCGGAGAAAATTAGTTAAATAAATGCATATTATTGACTTGTATGTAATAAGCTAGCAGGTGATGGTTAAACGGGAACTCCAGGTTGAAATTCATTACTTCTTTTTTAACTGATATGATGCGTTTTCATAAAAATGTGCAGTAACAAATCTTTATTTCAAGCTCTTCTAAATATCTTTTCTAAACTTTTTTCTTCAAAGCTGCGCTTATGCATTTAGTTTAGATAATGACAAAATTAGAGGTACTCAGAGCAGTCCCAAAGTTAGCAGGACAAACAGCAATAACCAGAGGGTTACCTCTCACTCTGAACCATGCGTTTCCTCATCTTTGGGGTGAAATGCTTGGCTCGTGTGGCTGGTTTCCTCTGCTCACTTATAATATAGAATGACACTGTTTCATTCTATCCACAAACCAAGCTGCAGCAAGTCTGTAAAACAATAGACATGCAGGTAATGATATATGTACCATGTGGGTGAACACTCCTTCCAATGAAGGCTGCTTTGTTTATAGCAGTTCAGCTCAAGTGCTGTCAGTGGCGGACTGTATTTATATGGATTAAAAATTATTTTTCTAAAAATAAAAATACAGATTTAGGGGTCTGAATTACTAAGCAGCAAATAGAACCGCACAGCAACTAAATGAATTATGCTCATAAGTCAGAAAATAAATGTGTGCTATTTACTAATATGACTCACAAGCTACATTAG